AAAAAAAAAACAAGTATAGAGAAACAGTATAAACAGGCAGAGCCGTGGACACCGATCATTCGATGTTCACAGTTCTGGTCATTTACATTGGTACGTTTATTCGTGAAATAGAATACAGTTAAACTTCGATTTAACGCACTAATTCGGACCGAGGGCGTGCGATAAAGCCGGAAATTTGTTACGTAATAAGATTTTCCTAATGCACGTGTTAAAATGTTGACAAATGACTTGTTATAAAAATGTTAAAAACACAAAAATGTTCACATATCTACATGAACAGGGATGAAAAGCAAAGGTTTTACCCCTGTGGCCCGGTCTTGTACAGCAGCCGAGACAAAATATACGTGATGAAATTTTAAATACAAAACTTAGACGATCGTCTTAATATAGTTTGAAGTGTATAAAGAAAGATTAAGATTCAATGTGATAAAGAGAGAGACTAAACGAGAAGACAGAACAAAGCAATGGGTAATCGCTGATATGCGAACATTGCATTTAGAACTTTGAGTTTGTTAATTAAAGAACTTTGAAAATTCATGTTCAATATTAAATAAATCGAAGTAATACTTATTTATCGGAATGTCTTATACAGAGAATATTAAATCTTGCATTTGTTTTGTTTTAAGTCATTCACTGACAATTTTTATTGTGAGTTATCGAGTACAAAAACAATTTTCTGTTTAAAAGCAAAATAATTATTAAACTAAAACTTTAAATTCCATATAAATAGCATCTTTGTATAGATTATTTTCTTTAAATTCTATCAATATTCAAGCGTTTTTATTATGCATTAGTAAAGATGCAAGCATTTTACATCAACATGCAATAAACATTCTGTAATATTATAGCTTAACTTGACTTTGTGTGTGATAATTTGCACTTGATACACATTAATTAACATAAAATTATTTATGCTTTTATAGCTTGATAAAATTTCAACAAATTTTTAAACATAACCTAATTAAGTTTTGTAAATTGTTATTAATTAACAAAGTAAATTTATTGTAATTCTGAGCTTTTCATATAAAATAAATTCAAATGTAAAATTATAAAATATAACTTAAATATTTTTAAGTCTTCAAAATATCTTTTGTCAGTTCTCATTTGATCTGTTTATTTCGTGTAATCTATTTGTAGCTTTACTCTCAAATTCACATATAACACTTGAATTCATCTTACTTTTAAAAAATCAATTTTTCAAAAATATTTCCTCAAAATTGATGAAAAAACTTTATGGGTTAATTGTACCTAAATAACCTAAATTGTACCTATATACATATCTATTACTTATAGCACTTGAATTCATCTGTTTACTAATGACTGTGTTTTGGGGTTTTCTTTTATACTTTAGTTTCTGATCCTGAAACTGCTGTTGGTGACACAAACCAACCGTCCCCAATTAATCTCGATGGCATCAGCGCTGAAGATTCAGCGAAAATAACTAAACAAGAAATGATCTCTAATATTACAGAGACTGACAATGACGACTCAGATGATATGGAATTATTTTCACTCGTAAGTTTAAATTTAATTAAATTGTTTCAAACTAAATTGTTAATCCTTATATCACTTAAAAGCTGATTATTGGTAATGCACAATCAGACGAAAACGTTCTATAATATTTAAATTGACTCTACATTTTTTTATTATTATATAAATTTAGCCTTGCTTAATTGAATTATTATCGTTGGTGATGGTAATCGGGTTCATTTTCTATTGCCTCTGTTTTCAAATAAACCTGTAATAAAATCTTCATTGGCATTATGTTAATTTATGATAAAACTATTAAACATAAATTTAACTTTATTGTTTAAGTTAACGTAATTTTCAAGAAATATTTCAAAATCTTATTTCTCATAATTCTGTTCACCAGGAAGATGCTTATGTTCCATTGACTCCAAGACAAATTTTGGTATTGGAAAACGAAGCTCACAGAACACTAAAGCATGAACTGATGAGTTTAGATGTTCTCTGTCATGCTCTTGGTATTATCTACGAAGAGGAAGAACATGAATTATCGGAAGACGAGAACCTCGATCATACAAAGAGTATATCGGAACAAAATATCTCTTCTTCTCATCAGTTAAATGACGTTAATCAATTGGAACAGCAAAGCTTTGAATCTACTTTGCTAACATCCTCGATGACAATCGACATTGAAGGTGATAATTGTATTGGAATTAAGTGTGATCCATCTGTTATTTCACGGATGACAAAACAATCAAGAGAGATGACAGAATTCGTTGAAGGTAAGGTTACAAATAGCAGATTGCAAAGAATTATTAAATTTTCAAAACAATTTATTGAAAAATTGTTAACGAAATACAATCGAATTTAGAAATTTTTCACTCTGGTGTACTATTAGTAAATTGTAAAGTTTAGCATTAATTTTCCATACATAGTTTTTCAGTCGTTTGATGTTTATTATTCCGATAAAAATCCGAAATAAAGAATAAATTTCCGAATATTCTTTTATTTATGGAAATGTTTCATTTATTCAATGAAAAATCTTCAAAACATTCACGTATCTGGACAGAAGCAAATGACAAGTCACTGTGATAACTTCTGATTTTCAACATTACTTATTTAGTGTTAAATAATTAAAATTTCTTTACAAATGAACATTCAGCATGCACCGTGGTAAATCGTTATGTTTATTCACGCATTTTTAGTAATATTACGGGGTCGTTTCCTGGCATAACGTCTTTCGAGTGTTCTCGTCCAGTGGGAACAAAACACGGCGCCGTTAAACTACCGAAACGAGCTTTTCATTTTAAAATGTTTATTTACAGTGCATATTTGACATCGACTAAAGGGAAAATTATTTGATTTTGTATACAGAATAGTCTACTTTTAAGGATGGTTTGAATTCAGGTGCATTAATACTCCGTTCTATTAATACTTTGAGCATTATATGCCCGACGTTAGTAATACATTGCCGAGTTGCCTGCACAAAAATACTTTACAATTCCTGAAATACATCAGGAAATTACTATATTTTTTATATTAATACCTTGTGAATTATAGTTTTGATTTTTTTAATTCGATCAGTGTGGGATGTTATAATTACTTGCTACTTAAACATCTGTACTGCTCCTGTGACATTCTTTATAGGTTTTAGATTTTATATAATTGCATTAAATCATAATTGCATAGTTTAAATTCGATAACTCATCGTAGTTTTTAATTTTTATTCGCTAATTACTGTTTGAAATACACCAATTATTTGTTATTGTATTAATTTGTGAGAGGAAATGTAATTGAATATTTATAAAATTAT